CCTCATTAATTATGTTGTACACTCACCCCAGGGTACACTGACTTTGTTCTCCTCATTAATTATGTTGTACACTCACCGCAGGGTACAATGACTTTGTTCTCCTCATTAATTATGTGGTGCACTCACCCCAGGGTACACTGACTTTGTTCTCCTCATTAATTATGTTGTAAACTCACCACAGGGTACACTGACTTTGTTTCCCTCATTAATTATGTTGTACACTCACCGCAGGGTACAATGACTTTGTTCTCCTCATTAATTATGTTGTACACTCACCGCAGGGTACAATGACTTTGTTCTCCTCATTAATTATGTGGTGCACTCACCCCAGGGTACACTGACTTTGTTCTCCTCATTAATTATGTTGTAAACTCACCACAGGGTACACTGACTTTGTTTCCCTCATTAATTATGTTGTACACTCACCGCAGGGTACGATGACTTTGTTCTCCTCATTAATTATGTTGTAAACTCACCCTGGGGTACACTGACTTTGTTTCCCTCATTAATTATGTTGTACACTCACCGCAGGGTACAATGACTTTGTTCTCCTCATTAATTATGTTGTGCACTCACCCCAGGGTACACTGACTTTGTTCTCCTCATTAATTATGTTGTACACTCACCGCAGGGTACACTGACTTTGTTCTCCTCATTAATTATGTTGTACACTCACCGCAGGGTACACTGACTTTGTTCTCCTCATTAATTATGTTGTACACTCACCGCAGGGTACACTGACTTTGTTCTCCTCATTAATTATGTTGTAAACTCACCCCAGGGCACACTGACTTTGCTCTCCTCCAATAGTTATATCACACTCACCCCAGGGTACACTGACTTTGTTCTCCTCATTAATTATGTTGTAAACTCACCCCAGGGTACACTGACTTTGTTCTCCTCATTAATTATGTTGTGCACTCACCCCAGGGTACACTGACTTTGTTCTCCTCGTTAATTATGTTGTAACCTCACCCCAGGGTACACTGACTTTGTTCTCCTCATTAATTAGGTGGTGCACTCACCCCAGGGTACACTGACTTTGTTCTCCTCATTAATTATGTTGTAAACTCACTGCAGGGTACACTGACTTTGTTTCCCTCATTAATTATGTTGTAAACTCACCCCAGGGTACACTGACTTTGTTCTCCCCATTAATTATGTTGTACACTCACCCCAGGGTACACTGACTTTGTTTTCCCCATTAATTATGTTGTACACTCACCACAGGGTACACTGACTTTGTTTCCCTGTTAATTATGTTGTAAACTCACCCCAGGGTACACTGACTTTGTTCTCCTCATTAATTATGTTGTAAACTCACTGCAGGGTACAATGACTTTATTTCCCTCATTAATTATGTTGTAAACTCACCCCAGGGTACACTGACTTTGTTCTCCCCATTAATTATGTTGTACACTCACCCCAGGGTACACTGACTTTGTTCTCCCCATTAATTATGTTGTACACTCACCACAGGGTACACTGACTTTGTTTTCCCCATTAATTATGTTGTACACTCACCGCAGGGTACAATGACTTTGTTCTCCTCATTAATTATGTTGTACACTCACCCCAGGGTACACTGACTGTGTTCTCCTCATTAATTATGTTGTAAACTCACCCCAGGGTACACTGACTTTGTTCTCCTCATTAATTATGTTGTACACTCACCCCAGGGTACACTGACTTTGCTCTCCTCCAATAGTTATATCACACTCACCCCGGGGTACACTGACTTTGTTCTCCTCATTAATTATGTTGTAAACTCACCCCAGGGCACACTGACTTTGCTCTCCTCCAATAGTTATATCACACTCACCCCAGGGTACACTGACTTTGTTTTCCCCATTAATTATGTTGTAAACTCACCCCAGGGTACACTGACTTTGTTCTCCTCATTAATTATGTTGTAAACTCACCGCAGGGTACACTGACTTTGTTCTCCTCATTAATTATGTTGTAAACTCACCCCAGGGTACACTGACTTTGTTCTCCTCATTAATTATGTTGTAAACTCACCCCAGGGTACACTGACTTTGTTCTCCTCATTAATTATGTTGTAAACTCACCCCAGGGTACAATGACTTTGTTCTCCTCATTAATTATGTCGTAAACTCACCCCAGGGTACACTGACTTTGTTCTCCTCATTAATTATGTTTTAAACTCACCCCAGGGTAAACTAACTTGAGGGGGGCAAGGGTTATTTTCGTTCAACGTAATTGCAATATTTTTTTGTTCGTACAACGTAAATAGAAAAAATAAATTCCGTAATTCTGTAATCACAGGCTAGACGTACAACGTAATCAATCAAATATTTTTTTTCGTACACTGTAAAAATTTTCTCGGTACGTACAAGATTTTACATCCAAATAAAAAAATCGTAAAAAATAATGCAGGGAAATTACATTTTAGAAACTGTAAAACGATTAGATGGCACAATTCACTACAAAATTGAATGTCGAGACGTAAAAGGCCCTCTAACCGAATGAAGAGCATTACGAGGGTAATAATGGCGCAGTAATGGCGGAGAATTTGAGTCGGAGAGCTCTTCGGACCATTCAATGTTCCATTTTTTAACACTGTAAACTGTAAAAACGTCCTTTTTTCCCTTGTAAATTGTAAAAAAAAAAACGTTTTATTTACCGTAAAACCGTACCAGCTACCCCCTTACCTCCCCTCTAACTTTGCTCTTCCCATTAATCATGTGGCACAGTTCACCCAAAATACAATGATATGAGACTCTATGATGGCAGTAATGTGTAATAATATTAAAGACACGAGGTACATCAGTATATTAAGGGTAAGATATCGGTCAGATAATAGTTCATTCACAAAAACTGTTGTCATAGGTTCGTAGTCATCAACCAACTTACTATTCAGGAAAATATGTGGATATGTTGATTGGTTTCCGGGGATTTGAAAGATTGTCTATCATTAACATATATTCCGTATTCATTGGTTATGGACATGAGGAATCATTTACTCATTGGAACACACGCAGAGTGTATGTTCAATATTACAGATATACCGCCAACTACTATAACGCTCGTGAAAAGCGCCCTCCCATGACTCCAACGAAAGACTGACGTTGCTGGCGCCATTTCTATAATTGGTCGGCGAGCCAAACACAGAATTTCTGCTTGCATCTCTCTCGTTTCTCGTCGATCTGAAACTATTCCGAGCACACTGATCAGGCAAAAGAATACTCATAAATGAAGCGCTATCCAGCTCAGAATGAACCACATCAGTGAGTAAATAGTAACACTAAACAGGCACAGATTTGAACCACCTTTACTAGAAAACTAAAAAAAACCACGAACATATGTAGAACAGAATTTAATGAAATGAATGAATAAAAAGAGCAGAGCAGAGTTATAATAAAAGTAATAATATAAACAATAAAGCAATAACAATGTACGTCGAAGAAAAAGATTTTGGATTATTTATGTGAACATGTCACTTTGGCTAGAATTCCCGACTTGGAATGTTTCACAGGGACCATCGTGATTTTCGAGGTTGTCGAGAATTCGTGGAAAATTCGTCGAAATCGTATTCCGCCAAGCACGATCGAGTAACTGTTGTCTTCCAAAATGACAAAACAAATTCATAAATAAATACAGCAAAATAAACGCACCACACAATATGCTATGAAAGAAAGAATTGTATTGATAATTCACCATTACATATACCAGAGGTACATTACTTGGGGTTTGCAACTCGCATAGTACTGTATGGTGACATCATGTCAAGATCCCATTCAAGTCTCTTCTCGTAGATAGCGAGACTGAGGCTACGACCTTCTGACATGATATATATCAATGTTCAAGGTTTGTAATGAAAAAAATAAAACTTTTCTTGCCACTATCATAGTGAAAAATGTAATACATCGAAAATGTACATAAAATGTAGTTCTCGTAATCCGTCATATCGTGGGCAGCTATTTTGATCCACCTGGACATCCCAGTATCCGAGTTACCTCGGGCATGCGCATTCGCATTTTTCTGAGTTGGAACGCTTATGCGAGAGCGAGATTGAAACGGGATCTTGGTATCATGTAACCGTAGTTACAAACCCCAAGTAATGTACCTCTGATATACTGATTCAAACAATTACAGATGATATAATATAATGATGCAATGGTATATGAACATTCTATGATTCACATTTCATTAAAGAGTTCATCTATTTCATCCTCGTTTAAAGCTCGACGAAATATTTTGACTTCATCTATGTAACCATAGAAATACTCATCTGCCTTCCCAACGCCTGCTTTGCCAATAGTTAAGGGTGTATCTCTTGTAACAATATTACCTTGGCAACAAGATTGCCCACCGGTTTGTTTCACATTGTCCAGATAATAGTGTAAATGAGATCCGTCATACACCATGGCAACGTGATGCCACTGGGACAGCGTGGCAACCAAGTTAACGTAATCCCACGTGTTGGGACTATTATTAGTAACCACCCCTCCTCCCAGCATTTGACCACCATTCTCCCTACCCATTCTAATTTCCCAACTACCCGAGGTGTAATAACCGTTTGATATAATGCCCTGGTAGTTTGCATGACTGGTACGTTTAAACCATACACTGACAGTGAATTTAGAACCCCATGGATACCCACGAAACAGATCAATATCAATTTTGCCATTTCCAGTGAAATAGGCCGATTTACCAGAAACGCTATCGGCACTACTCAAACTGACGCCACCAGTGGCCACGCCTGGTCTCCCATAACAACTTGCGTCATTATAATTGTTATCAAATGGTAAATAAGCAATCAACGAAGGGTCATTGCATTCATTGGGTGCATATTTGTCATATATGGAAGCGACCTCATCGGCCGAAAGAGGTTTATCATAAATTACAACTTCGTCAATAAGGCCATAGAAAAACTCATTTGTTTTTCCAACGCCAGCTTGTCCAATTGTAAGAGGGGTATCTTTTACAATCATGTTTCCATGGCAGCAGTTCTCGTTACCATTTTGTATCTTGTTGTCAAGGTAATACTTTAAACTCTGCCCATCATAAGACATGACCACGTGATGCCATACATTTTGTTCAGCCAATACATTTATGTAGTTCCAGGTTTCTCTACTGTCTGCCGTATTAACACCTCCACCGAGCATTTGACCAGAGTATTCTCTTCCCATTCGAATTTCAAAACTTCCGTGATTATAATAACCATTTGATAAGATTCCTTGGTAGTTTCCCCATTGTCCTGTTCTCTTAAACCAGACACTAACAGAAAACTGAGAACCCCAATCATAATTACGAAAGTATGTGACTTCAATTTTGCCGTTGCCATGAAAACTAGCGGCTTTTCCCTCAACTCCAGGTACAAAAGTGACATCACCTATGGCGTTTCCATGACGACGGTTGATTGATACATCCTGAGTGTGCTCATCCAATGTATAATGGGCAATCACGTGATCGGATAAACCACCTGAGAAAAAAACAAGTTAAATTCATCAATAACAACAAAAACGATTCCACAGATTGTTTCATCATATACTTTTACAAAGTACCAGGCTGACTTTATACAATGCCACAGCTTGGTCATCAGTAATATGACGTAGTTGTTGCAGCATACTCAAATGTTCTCCTGGGAATCACGCAATCAAATCGGTTGTTTATAGTATAGAATCTATTCAAGTGAATTATATCGTGAATTCTGCGATTCATGTGTTAGTTGTTTATGTTTAAAGGGCGGTAGTCGTCGCGCCACGCATGCGCGAGACATATATGTTTCATACTAACAAAGATGGCGACTATGACTGTTATGCAGATTCACCTAGGTAGTTGGAATGTATAAAAAGAATCACTGGCGGTAATTATGCAAGTCGCGCCACGGTCACACCTCATACTTGTGATTTTCATTAGAAGAGCGCATTGGTTTGTGGGAAAATCAATGTTCATCAACACAAATGTCGCACATGCGCCATTTAAAGCGGGGGAGTCGTCACATGCGCATGCGTCAGATGGCCATAGGGTGTCATTGTTTACAAACAAGCGTCTACCCATGAGATCTTGGCGTGTTTCAAGTTAGCGTGTGTTGTTATCGTCGCTTGGGACTCAATTCCAGCGCCGCAGGTGACGACCCTCCCGCTTTAAAAGCAGCAAAAATTATATTTGCGTTAAGCAAGTCGATAAACAGGATATCGAGTTCATGACCCTACGATGACCCTGATCTTATGTTACTGACCCCGACAAACATTCTTGTGTGCAGAGTTAAAATTAATTAAACTAATGTTTTTTGTTTTACGCTGGAGCAAAATTACTACACTCTTTCAATAAATATTAATAGTGATATTGCAGGATTGTCCATTGACGCGACATGTGACATCTTCGTTTTTTTGTAGTTATGAATAACTGAACGGCGAGACATACCCAGACCAATGCATTTTATATGAACATAAAACGCCAGACACGGTTTGGTCATTTACCTGATTCTGAGCAACAGTCAATAGCCCGAGTTATTTCTTGTTGCATGGCTTCCATTTCAGTGACCAAATCGCTTAGTCTACGCTCAATTACGTACAGTCTCGACATATCACATGTTTCCGTGGTCGTCATCTGCTGCAGAACATTTTCAGAACTAGTCACTAACAGGGGAAATAGAACCAACAGTATCAATCTTTCCATACCAGTCATATTCTGATCCTGTGAAAAGAACACATTTAACAGTTACAAATATATCTGATCTGTTGTACAACCTCGCGAACGTGTCTGTAATTTGTGATGTTTGTCACGGTTACAGTAAGAGAACTAACCTGGACACAAGTTTTCAGCAACCAGTCAATGTTGTTACAATACTTGATATCACATTATGGGTGGCTGTGTTTATATCAAGGCTTTATATATACGCCCCTGAATAACAGGAAATGTACTTGGAATACTCGTCAGAATTCCTTGAATCACATGTTCGGAGAACTGTGACGAGCATTTGGTGTTTACAAACGCCTTTTGGTACCTTGTAAAAGCATAGCGGCCAGGAAATAACAGTATGGCGTAACAGTATAGCGTACAATACTGACAGGTGGTAACTGTAGAACTTCTGAAAATGACGGATACATAGCATGGAACTAAGTGTTTCTCTCTGGGGATCGAACGGTGGGGGCAGGGACACGACAAAATGACAAAATGCCTACTCAAATCACGTTTGATTCTCATGGCTTGTCAATTAAAGACTGTGACTGGTCAGTTCTTGTTATACAGCGAGTTCTTCGTTGCCAAATGCAGTCATTGATTTGTTAAGTGTCCTCATGAGTCAGTAAGCATTAATATCGTGTTGTAATAGTAATATTTTATTGCATCTTTAGAAACTGAACATATCAATCAGAGGCGGCGGCACGAAAAGCGCGAGCTTAGTAGGGGGATCAAGGGCATATTCCCCCTTACAAAATTTGAAATCTAAACCTACTGAAACGCTATTTTCTGCATTTTGAGGGGCAAATTTTGCTGACACAAAGAGTTTCAGCTTGATTTTCTACTCCAACATTTTTTTCGAGGCCCCCCCCCCCTGTGCCGCCGCCACTGTCAATATCAGTTGTTACCAGTAAATATATGGGTAACATATAGTACTACATTTAGCGAGCATTGTTTACAAATTATATTATAATTCTTTGTTTTGTATTTAACAGGAAATGTACATGGAATACTCTTCACAATTCCATGTAGCCCGTGTTCGGAGAATTGTCCAATCACAGACCACTTGTTACAAAATTCAGGAGGAAGTTGCCTTTTAACTCTCAAATGAAATATAGATTTCGTCATAGAAGTGACAGAATTTGGGTCGAGACTAACGTTAGAAAGGTGGTAGACGTTTATTCAGAAAACGAATATATGTCATAGTATACCACTCCACTCTTCGAGGACTCGACAAAGTGGGCATTTAAAGCGCAGTAGTCGTCACGCTGCGCATGTGCGAGATATATGGGTCTCATATAAACAAAGATGGCGACTATGACTGTTGCGTTGATCAACGAGTACGAACTGAGACGTTTCCGAGCTTTAATTAGGTAATTTTCATGTGATTTCCAATTAATTTGCGCATTGGATTGTGGGAAAATCAATGTTT